AACCAAGCACGAGGCGATTGTTTCAACCCATAAATTGCCTTTTTCAATCTGCACACCTTACCATCCTCCCCCTGAGCAACAAACCCAGGTGGTTGCTCCATATATACCTGCTCCATATATACCTTCTCCATAAGGTCACCATGATAATGACTCCTCTTCTGGTACCAAGTTGTAAGATGTATTGACTTGAAGGTGGAGTTAGAAAAGAAAAAACAAGGAAGAGAAATGGTGAAATTTGGAAATAGGTGGTCTTGATTGCCTACTTCCACTTTTCTATTTATTAACAAGAAAGACAATACAGTGACCATTATACACATGATACAATGTTGTCAACTACACAATACTACTATAGTCCCCAAGAAATTTCAAAATTTATCTAGTTATTTATACAAGTAGTCTTATATTGCATGAATCTGACATAATGTGTGGAAGTTATGGCTGCACAAAATATAAGGAATCAACTTGTTATTAGATTTAATTTATTAGAAGTTTCACATAAACAAACGGCTTTACATATACATCTATAGTTTTTGGGGGTGGTTGGTTAGGAGCTAAAAAGTAAAACTAATCCAATTGACAAAGCATGAAATTTCCAAGTTGTTATCTTGTTAATTAAAAAAGCATAGCAAGACCAAACTACGCAAAATATCTCCATTAAAGAAATAACTGTAAATCTGCTGCCCCCCTGTTAGCTAGAAAATAAAAGTAAGATCAAGCTTTACCTAATATCACTACTTAAGAAATGATATAAATCTGTCATGGAATTACCATATTGACATTATTGTGACAGTCCAGGAGTGGTTTTTGAGCTACTAAGTGGTAGATTAGACATCCAAAACTGAACATATCAGAAGAACATCTTGCTGAGAATTCTTTACTTCTAACCAATTCAGGAGCAGTATAATTGAGAGATGGTTGAAGGGGCAAAAGAGAATCATCAACATCATATTCCTGTGAAATTCAAATATTAAGAGATCAATAGCTAAATATGACCTATGGAATACAGATAAATCAGTTTCACCCAATAAACTCCATTAATTGAATGTAGCTATATTACATTCTCAAAAAATTATTACATGCATTGCATTTTTGGTATTCCTATAATCACCATTTCCATTTAATTGCTTTCTAAAATAAGAATCTGCAGTCGATTTACATAAAAATGTTCAAGGTTTAAGTTAATTCATAAAAATATCTGAGTTTCCAAGAACACCTATTCTTGCTGTGGCAATATCATCATCAGGTTTGAGAAGCTAGATCATTTGCTCATCATTTGAACAAAGATTGGGCTGGATGGGCCTTAACTTGCTTCTTTTTATTGTTTTATCTTTAAGTTGTATTTTCTTATATTGGGCCTTAAATATATGGACCATCTATTATTTATTTTTGTTGCTTACCAATTCAGCTTCCCTATTGGGGACATTCATGCAGTGTTTTAAAAGCACAAGGCACAAGGCGAGGTGCGCACCTTTTTGAAGCAAGGCGCAAAATGCAAAAAAAATGCTCAAATTTCAAAAAATGCCAATGTTGATGTGAAAATTTTAATAAATTCTCATGCAACATAACTCACTCAAACAAGTGATTGAGTTTTTATTCTTTTGGGTAAGGCCCATTTAAGTAATCCTATGCACTGTTCCCCTTAATCACATCTCTATGAGAAAGTAGAGAACACCTTTTAATTCTGACTTAGAGAAATGAATGCATACAAAAGAAAAAAACAATGGAGTACTTCTTAAGAAAGAACTATTCATTTGCATTTCTTTTACATCAAGTGTACAAGAATGAGAAGAAAAAAATACAATTGAGAAACTCTACAATAATACATTTCTCTCTTTCTTTCTTTTTTCTTTTTTGATATAAAGAAGATTTCCTTTTCACTCCTTTCTTCACAATAGGTTGTAGACAATCAGATGAAATTCTAACTGTAGACAGCCTTAATCATTTGGATTTTGTATACAAGAATGGAACCGTAGTCAATCAAGTTGAATATTTTATTGTAGAGAGCTTTTATCCCTCTATTCTTCATTTTCATTTAAAGGAAGCCATAATCATCCCTTGGGTATTAGGCTGTAGATGGTTATATCCCTAACTTGTCTCGGTAGAAGGACCATAATCAACCAAGTAAAAGCACCTGGTCTTAGATGGTTTATTTCCCTCTATTCCCTTTCTTAAAAGTAAAAATAAATGAAAGAGGAAGAAGGATACAATTACAATATCTAGGTTTTATTGAGAAAGAAAACAAGAAGAAAAGGAGAAGAGAAGAGAAGAGAAGAGAAGAAGAGAGAAAGGTTCGAATGGAGAAGAGAGAGTTACTGTTCACTCTTTCAAACTTGGAATTTTAAACTATTGAGAGAAATTACAAGAAAGCCCTCATATTGGTACCTAAATACAAAAGGACACCCAAATACAAAAGAACAAAAAGACAAGAATACCCTTGAATGCAAACAATCTCAACACTCCCCCTCAAGCTGAGCATATACATCAATCATGCCCAGCTTGTCTAAGTTCTTGGCAAACTTTGGATGATGAAAGCCTTTAGTGATACAATCAGCTAGTTGGTCTTCTAACCTTACAAAGGGTAGGCAAATATCTCCACTTGCTATCCTCTCTTTGATAAAATGTTTATCCACTTTGATATGTTTTGTACGGTCATGTTGCACAGGATTGTGGGCAATGTTTATGGTTGCTTGATTGTCACAATAGATTCTCATTGGAGGATCAGCTTGGATACCTATCTCGGTCAATAAGGTCTTCAACCAGAGTAATTCTGACACTCCATGGGCCATTTCCCTATACTCTGTCTCAGCACTATATCAAGCAACAACAGATTGTTTCTTACTTCTCCATGAAACAACATTACCTCCAACTAAGGTACAATAACTAGATGTAGATCTTTTATCATCAATAGACCCTACCCAATTTGCATCTGTGTAGGCCTCAACCTTTATATGCCCATGCTTGGAGTACAACATCCCTTTACCAGGACATCCCTTAAAATAAGTTGGGATTCTATTAACAACCTTCATTTGGGAGGTTCTGGAATCATGCATATATTGACTGGCCACCCTGACTGCATATGATATATCAGGTTTAGTCAAACTGAGATAAAGAAGACGGCCAACCACTCTCTGAAAGACCCCTTTGTCTAGAAGAACATCTCCTTCAGTAGTACTCAACTTGTGATTGGGATCAATTGGAGTTTCTACAAGTTTGCATCCTAATTTCCTAGCTTCATGGAGCAAATCAAGAACATACTTTCTTTTAGAGAGGAAGATTCCCTTCTTGGATCTTGCAACTTCAATTCCAAGAAAGTACTTGAGATCACCGAGATCCTTAAATCAAAAATTCTGAAGCAAGAAAAGACTTTAAGTGAGAGATACCTGAGATGTCATCCCCAATCACAACAATGTCATCAACATAGTCAATCGTCCATCGACCTTCCTTATGAATAAAGTGTGATCAGTTTGAGACTGAGAGAATCCAATCTTCAAAACAACATTTCTAAATTTGTCAAACCAGGCTCTTGGGGATTGCTTGAGGCCATACAAAGATTTCTTCAGATGACAAACTTTCCCTTCGCTATTAGGGAAGCTTACCCCAGGAGGTAAGTCCATATACACTTCTTGCAAATCCCCATTAAGAAATGCATTCTTCACATCCATTTGATATAAAGGCCAAGAGAAATGGGCAGCAAGTGTTATAACAACACAAATATAATTCATCTTAGAAATAGAAGCAAAGGTTTATAGATAGTCAATTCCATAGGTTTGGCTATATCCTTTGGCTACAAGGCGAGTTTTATACCTTTCAATTGAACCATCAACTCTGTGCTTAATAGTGTACACCCACTCACACCCAATAGGAACCTTACCCTTGGAATGAGGCACAATCTCCCAAGTTTGGTTCTTTAACAAGGCCTCCATCTCTTGGTTCATAGCTTCCTTTTAGTGACGAGACTGCATTGCTTTTGTAACACTACGAGGAATAGAAATAGAGGAGATGGCAGAAATATAGGCATAGTAAGAAGGTGAGAGAGCATCATACGACACATAATTGGTAATGGGATACTTGATACATGTTCTCTTTCCCTTCCAAAGGGCAATAAGGAGATCAAGATCAACGTGAGCAATAGAAGTACTAGGAAGTTCAAGATTACCAGAGTCCAAGGGATTAGATTATGGTGGGTGTTCAACTTCAGGAGCCACCCTCTTACTATGCCTAATGAAGAATTACTGCTAGGGTCGAGGCTGAAACATAGGAGGTGGAGGAGGAGGGGAAGGAATGCTCTCAATACAAGGACGGGAGGAAGAAGAAGAACTAGTAGACACAAGGAAGGTAACATCCTTTGAAACATACCTTTGACCAGATTGAGGATCAAAACATCTATAACCTTTCTGAATAGGAGAGTAACCAACGAAGACACATTTAATAGACTTAGGATCAAACTTATGTCTCAAAGGACTCATATCATGAACAAAACAGACACATCCAAAGACCTTGAGAGGTAAATTGAAGGCGGGTTCATCAGGAAGAAGAAGTTGCTGAGGGGGCCAAAGATTTAGCACCATTGATGGTATCCGGTTAATAAGATACACACTAGTCTAGATAGCATCTTCCTAGAAACGAGTAGGAACACGAGTTTGGAACAGTAACCCACGAGCAACTTCAACCACATGTCTATTCTTCCTCTCAACAATGAGCAACCCCATTTTGCTATGGAGTATGACTACATGAGCTCTAGTGAATAGTTCCAGTATAAATCTACTGAATTAAAAAATATGAAAGAAAAGTAGTTTCTTGAAGAGAAAAGGAAGAGAGATCCCATGCTTGGATCTTGCAACTTCAATACCCAAGAAGTATTTGAGCTCACCAAGATCTTTGATCTCAAATTCTTGCTGCAATGATTTTTTGAGATCATCAATCACCTCCAGATCATTTCTTGTCACCATTATCTCATCCACATACACAATCAGAATTGACACCAGAACATCTCTCCTCTTCACAAAGAGGGTGTGATCAGACTGTGTCTGTGTGTATCCAAAACGAATGAGTGCCTCTTTGAACCTGTCAAACCAAGCCCTAGGTAACTGTTTCAGTTCATACAGAGATTTTTTTATTCTGCACACCTTTCCTTTACCAACATTTTCATAAAAACCTGTTGGAATGTCCATAAATACCTCCTCCTGTAAATCACCATTGAGGAAGGCATTTTTGACATCAAGCTGGAACAAGGGCCATGAATAGGTGGCTGCTAAAGATAAAAGGATACGAACTAAACTCATCTTAGCTACTGGTGCAAAGGTTTCCAGATAATCAACAACATAGGTCTGAGTATACCCTTTTGCTACCAACCTTGCCTTGTACCTCTCTATCTTGCCATCAACCTTATACTTCACTGTGAATACCCATCTACATCCGACTTCTACTTATCTAGGGGGAGATCAACTATTTCCCAAGTTTGGTTTTTGACCAAAGCATCCTTCTCATCCTGCATGGCTGTTTTCCACTCAGGTTTGGAGAGAGCCTCAGTAACATTCCTGGGTATAGACAYWGADTCYWRRGAAGAARGAAAAKYAYRGTAGGAGGGTGATAAGGCACTGTAGGAAAGATGGTGTGAAATGCAATGGGCTGTACACTTTCTCTTCCCCTTATGAAGTGCAATGGGAAGATCAAGGTCAGTGGGATCAGTTGCAACAATGGTGTTAGGGACAGGAACATTGTCATCAGGAAACATAATAGGCTCAGACTCAAGAGAAATACCTGGAACTGTATCTGCCAAATTTGGAGTTTCAGAAGGACTGATAGAGAGTGGTGTGGGTTGAGGATGTGTGGAGTCAACCATCATCTACCGGCGCTGAAGTTTCTGTGAGGCTGCCCGTAGTGGCTCAAGTAATGACTGGAGGTGTAGGTGTTGGCTGAACTGATGGAGGCACCAAAGAAACAGGAAGAGG